TGCAATATTCCAGCAATGTCACAGCACAGACACCAGAAATGGGCTTCATACATTGTACCCATGTGGGAAATCGAACCCGTGTCTTCGGCGTGACAAGCGAATGCTTTAACCACTAGGTGACCCCTCCGCCTCAACTTATGAATGAACATAGCAAGAATATGAATACTGTCAGATGATATAAGGTTAACAAATTTCTGATAAGTAGGGATTGCAATATAGCAGGCAGGTACGTATTTATATCTTAGTTCATTATAGCTTGGACAGATCAGTAGTACATGGTATTCATCCTGAACAGAATCATTACAATAACTACATGTTACAAGAAATGGAACAAATTATGATGATCTGAATTGGGAACATTGTTTGATTGTTATTTAATATCACACTCAGCAATATCCCAGCAATGTGATGTGGCCTGGAAATCATGTCTGGACCAGACAAACCAGTTATAATATTATGAACAGCTTCCCATGTCACTGGTGTTTTATGACATGAATATAACCAGATTATCAAATCTGACCACCCAGTCAATGTAGTTGCTTTGTATGACTAAGGTACAGGTTGTTGGGGAAAAGTTGCACGTGTCAGTCTAATTACTAAACTTAATATACACTCCGGCTGCTTGCAGCAACATTAACTGTACAGTTCCAGTATTGATTATATGAAATAGTACTACAATGTCATGACTATCTCTTTCAAGCATTAAAAACACAAACCTAGAAATTTGTACGAAACTAAATACATGAATTCATTTTAATTATTTTAGTTTTAATATAGTGGTATTTATGTTTCAGTCATTGACTCTTTGGGGAATGAAGGGCAGATAATCATATAGTGAATTTCATTTCCTACGTCACATAACTGTCAGTGTTGTCATTTTCCTTCACCTAATGGTATTACAACATCCAAGATGGCTGCACCAAGGTTTCAGAAAATGTTTCCATTTCCTATTTTCCCTATGTGTAACAAAAAGTGAATTTGTAGAGAATTCATAATCTTGTTAGTAATCTTTTGGTGTTTTTTTAAATTATAGCTGTCATGTCCGTAGGAACTACTAAAACATGGCCTTTGGGGCATGATTCTGTGAACATTTTCCATAATTCTCAAAACCATCTGTAAGCTGGTGTGAAATCTGATAACCAGAATACTTCATGACTTGATGATTAGATACCCAAGTACACTGAGCTCAGGTTAATATTATTAAACTGCATGTTTTCATTGAATGCAGATGTTACTTGGTGATGTTTGTGATACGCATATTACGATCACGTTTTGATATTTATATTCTTCTATCTTGCCTAACATTATATTATTGATCATCAGAAACCTGCTAGTGTTTATGGTCAGGTTGCATCATGTTGTAATCAGACCATCCTGTCACTGATACCCATATTTGCTGTTGATTTTGTGAGTGTCTAAAAACTGATGTGAGTACAAAATTGCTTTGTTGTAATGATCACTGTCAAATATTATTTTTGTTACAAGTATTTTAAAAAGTAACTACATTCTTTTGGTAGAAATACACTACAGGTACAAAGACTGTCTAATAGGCATTCATTTAGTAAAACATTTTAATGAATGCAAATATTTCAATAACCTTTGAACAGATATTGGTAAATTTGAAATGAAGTAAAAAAGTCATAAATTTGACGAAAGACATAATGCTCCATTTCATATTGTCAGATGAAGAATATTTGTATATTCAGTAAAATTCTTACAATATTAGCAATGGTGACATGATACAGGTTATGGATTATTGATGGGCCAAGGTAAATTACCTGAATAGTAAAGCTGTGTAATAGGGGTTGTCTTCTGAAAAGCGTATAATCTGCATGAGAACATGCGGAATGTATTGCAGGTTGAAATCAGATATAGGACTCCTTCAGTGAAGGACCATCAGGGTGTATCAAGGGGGTGTATGACCTTAAGAGTGATTATTTGTAATGCTGTTTACAATCCACTGTTTACACAGCCAATATCTCATTTCACTTTGAAGTAATGATTGGACAGAAAGATGGCCTTGTGGAGGAGAACATCCTACTTGTCTGCTCTAGGGGCGCCATGAACTGTTGAAATCATTCTTGCTATTAAGAAGTCATGCCCTTGCCAAACTCAACAGGTGAATATATCATGGTTCAAGCCTTATTCTGTCAACAAACACTTAAGGAAGAAACTGAGTTAAGTCTCCTACCCGCTGTGACTGAAAGTCGAGTTAGGTGGATAGCAGCTCCTGGGGTAAAAATACATTGCAGTTTAGGATGTACCTATTGTTGGTACTTTCAAAAACACTTTCGTGAGTATTTCTATTTATGTCCTTGTGTTTCATTTTTTTATGTTGCTTTTGCAATATCACTGAAATATCTTGAAATGTTAACACAGAAATAGCCTTTCCAAGTTGTGCTTACGTAGGAAGCATGTGGGGAAAAACAGATGACTGTGCTGTATGTCTTTGAAGTAGCATGGCCCTACCTAGGCAGGTTCCAGGTCATACTGCTTCTCATTATAGAGAGCCATGGAATTCTGGAGCACAGTGGTTTCACAGCACTTGTACCATGCTTGACTTAAGATCCATGTAAAGTCCATGTTTATCTGGAACAGCAGCTAATGTTGGGATTGGCTGGTTAGAGTGTGTGACAGTACATCATGTAGGTATACAGTGGGTAAATGTTTAAAATGATACAGCTGTAATATTGGATTGCAGCATACACTCGCTCAGTCTTTGAGTTGATTGCTATCTTTGAAATATGAATGTGCAATATTGGAGGCGCGTGTTATGGTTGTGTTTCAATGATAGGTTACACAAGAAGTGAAACTCAATTGGTTACATTTAATTAAATGTGTCCAACTTATGACCCAAATTATTTAACTTTTAATTAGATTTCTTTAAAAACGTTATATTTTTTGACAAGTAAATTATTAAAAACTGATGTTAGAATTCAGTTGTATTTGATTGTTAATTGAGGGCAAACTGGTGAACAGTTCTTAATGTAATATGTTAATAAATGCTGAACTAATGTAGACAGCTGTGTAAATTTCAGCATACTTATACTTTCAAATAGCATAATAATCTAAATAAGTTAAAAGCTGGTACTATCACTACTAAGTCTTAACTCCTAACATGTTATTGAGAGAGGGAGGGAGGGAGAGAGTATGTTTATCCACATTCAGTGCATGCCTGCTTCAAGTTAAGTGTACCTCTAGACATCAGCCATATATATATGGCCACTTTTGTCAAAGGTTTCCATATAGTGTTTGCAGATAAATATGTAAAGGAGGTTTTTTTAAATTGAGGAAGTTGTGCATTGCTCAGATAGTTTGCACACCTGCCTCTCTCAGCTGTCACAGGTGGGGTTGGCCAGATCTTGAAAAGGGAGGTAATACCCACCATGATATTGACTCAGTTTCGATATGGCATCCAGTTGCATCTTCTCTTATTATGAAGCAGGTAATGAGAAACAAGTTGTTTTGGTGTAAATTTCCAGTGGGGATTGCTTAGTGTGTGAATAGTAATAATATATTAATTGAGTTTTAAATCATAAATCTGTATGGGATTAAGCTCCTAGCTTTCAGTTCCAGGTTTGTTACAGAACTGATTGTTTTGAAAAGATAATTTTTGGAATGGTTTGCAGTATTTACTTAAAATATTAAAGTTCTTGGTATATCACAGAGGCAGTGTTAAAGTAAATTGTTTTACATAACTTTGATGTTCACTCTGTTAATAAGTTGTGAAATTAGCAGCTATTTCTATGTTCTAAGACCGCCCATCCTCCCAAGAAAGGGAAGTAATATGAAATATATGAAATGCTGTTTGGAGTAAATGAGCTATAAATTTGAGATTAGCAGAAGTTGAAATAGCCCTTTTAATTATGACAATCTAAGCATTGACAGGGTATGAAAATGTTTGCTATGAAAGCAGTGCATTTAGTGCTTCCTGCGTCAACTCTTATTACATCTTGGGAATAACTTGATCCTTGACATGCACCAGTAAATGTGAGGACAAATCTATCATGTCCCCTTCTGTGCACTATTCATACCCAATTGACATGTTGATTGGTTAAGCATTTATCGATGGTGTACTGTCTGTCAGTATTAAGTGTCCACATGCTGAGACCATGTCAGTGAAGCTATGCTATCTGAAATGATTGATTAGGGCAGTAAATTTAACCGAGCTCAAGAAAACATTTAAAATACTCACTGATTATTCTCCTGATAACCTGAAAGGAAATCACTCAAGGACGATCTGAACCTGCGACTTCAAATTTACAAAATAACATTTTTGTAATATGTCATTTTAAGGTTGTTTCAAGATGGAAAAGTTTTCTCCCCTAAAGGTTAAGACTTCATTATGGCTAATGCCTTTAAGCCTTGTGGCCTCTGAAGTACAGAGCTGTATTCAATATCTAACATTTCTTGCATGCTGGGAAGACTTCCTGCCATGAATACATGGTTTAGCGGAAGATATGTGTAAGATATTTATCTGATTGGCAGCACACAATTTTGACACATATCGATAAGTTTATAAGATGCACTTAGCCAACTGGGTAGTCTGAGGCCCCATGTGCACATTGATGTGTATACTCGGATGAGACGAGACTTGATAGATGCCAGACCTGTTTGGGTGACCTTTTGGTATTCTTTTGCAATACACACCTACCCCTGGTGTTGGGAATCTGGCTCAAAGTTTTCTGTATATCCTAGCATTGGCATTTGATACTTGTATACCATCCATACAGATCTTTTTCATTATTACATAGCAGCATGAGTTAGCACATACCAAGCATTTCCCCCTTATTGTGACTTGCTGTACATTTTTATAAAAGCTTGAATATCAAGAAATAAATAAACGTGAAAGGAAATAAGAATTGGATGGTGTTTAATTTTGTCCTAATTGGGTGTCTTATAAAGAAACTTGGCATGATAGGGGGAACATATTTCAAAGTTTGTGTTTGATTTAGTGAATATAGAAAGGTTAGTTCTGATTTTGATTTCCTTTCTTGAAGGAAAACAGATTGGCAAAGAGAGACTAATTTGATCAGGAAACCCTGGTGGAAGCTGATGTCAGTGTTGTACCGTTCTTAAAGAGGCATCCCGAAGCACAACTGTTGGGTGTTTCTGTGAATGCACTGATGTAAGTAACACATTTGTTTTCTACTTGTGTTTATATTTCTCTATGGATAGCAGCCATGTTAGATGTTATATGTCAACAGGATAAAATGTCAGTCTAAGGTTAGCTTCCACTTTTATTCTCATCTGTCTCCTGGAATGCTGGAAAATGCTTGCCCTGTGTCAAGAATCCACCACTTGCTACAGAAAAAATCCTTTGGCCTTATTAATTTGTACCTTTGACTCAGAAAACTATGAAAATGGGATGTTTTGTAATTGCATTCTTCCTTAACCTGAGCATGTTATTTTGGAAAATAATTCATTGCAAGTCATATAGACAGTGTTATGGTGATAGTTTTAATCAGTCTAATTAAATGATGTTTGAGGTGAAAAAGAAAGAAAACAGTGGACATTCACACATTTTGAGAAGATTGTATGTTTATGAAATAAACACTTCCCTATTGCAATTTTACATGACAGCTTGAAATGCACACAGAGCAAAACAGTTCTAATACAAATTCAAACCTGCAGGTGTTCTAAAGTTCAGTCTTATTATTCAACAATGGTAATTCTATAATTCTGCTGATCAAGTTTGTGTAATTAAATAAGTTTCACACCCATAAGGCATACAAAGCAAAAATACAAAGATGTTATAATCTAATAACCTCTGCTTGATCTAAATAATTAAGAAGACATTTTGTAATTACTGTATAGACGTGCCGCTGGTCAACATCTCCCACTGACATTGAACCGCAGTAATTAGTTACAAAGTGTAAAATATTCCATCTTTGAAATAGTGCCATTCTCACCAGTTAGAATTATGAATATTGGAAAAGTATTGCTCTGGGAACTTGTGCAGAATTTAATTAATTTAATAAAAGAGTGAATGGCAAATGCAGCTTGAGATTTTTCCGTCTGATAAATTGCCAATGTCATTCTGATATGATATTAACACTGTAGGCTGAATTGCTAATGGAATTCATGCCTTATGGTTTGGGATTTACCTCCCCAGCATGGAGGTGAGAAAGATGTTTCGGATGCTCAACTGAACTCTATTACTTCTCATTCATTGCTAATACTGAGATAATGGAAAGTGAAAGTGTTTATTGGTTTCATATTCTAAATAAAACCTTGGAACTTCACTATGTTGCCTTTTCCTAATTCAAATGTTAAATTGGCTTTCATGCTGTTTGGTTTGAATCTCACAACATTTTGTGTGTTATTTCTAACTGTTTCCTTTTTTGAATATTTTGCTTTGAAAGTTACATCATTGTAGTGCCAGAGACACTTACAGGAAGCATTTTATGAATGATGATGTCAGATTGTTTTGGTGGAGAAAGGCATATAATACCCTAATTATTCTCTGATATTTCACTTCTAAAATACGCGCAACATTAGTGTTTTTATTGTGACTTCAAAGATGTGCTAAATGAATATTAAAATATGTATTTTTATGGTATCATTTGCATCATGATGAAAAGGGATGTTGAAGGAAATGGTCACTTATAGAGATGTCAATCTTTCAAATATTGATGGAATTATTTAGAAATTTATCCCTCTAATTTTGTATTCATGATCATGTTATCAATAATATCAGAAAATAATCTGAGCTTATTACAGCATCCTTTTCAGGCATGAGAATGATCTGCACATTCCACAACCCTTTTTCACAATTGTAGGCCAGGAAATCTTGTGCTAACCGATGATGCCAAGGTCAATGACATTGACAGAAAACATGGAGTATTCAGTTGCTTAAGGAATATGTTGTCTTTGTTTACTCTCCTGGTTTTATTCAGCTTACCTCATTGGCAGTTGAATGATTTTCAAAGAGTAATTGTATCAAGAAACAAATAAATCTTAACAAAGTTACACATCATATTCTAGGGGAGCTGAACATGATTATACCAGCCACTTTCATGTCCAATGTTCGATTTGTGTGCATTGTATTTCATGTGAATCTGTGCCAGGGTCATGGTGGAAAATGGCCGGGAATAATTTAAACTCTAAAAAATGGACAATATCATGCGTCATAATGGAATGTCTGTACTGTTCAGACAGGTTTTTGAATTATTGCATGATAATTCTAATCAAGTTGCAGAGATTTTCATATAAATCTACAATGGGCTGATTTAGTCATGCTATATTTTATATGCAGATATTGTATTTCACATTGAGTTTCAATGATTTGTGTTTGCGTTTCCATTGTGTAGTGGCTCATACAATACTGTTATGAGTCTAGGCTAGACTTGACCTACAGAAATTGCAAACAGATTTCCACTTTGTTGCTCCAGCATTTATGTGTCACAACAGTAAAGTTGGAAGGACATTGTTATATGTATCCTTAATTTAGGTACCTGTCTGGAAGGTCCAGACATACTACAGTATTAAACAACAATATGGACCTCCAGGGTCTTATAAATTTGAATTGATATTGAGGAGACTGGATGTATCTGTTAAATTGTGATGGTAATGTAATTAGCCTCAGTACCTAAAAGTCTTAGAAATGAAATTTGCTTTCGAGAATAAACTCACAAAATAAATCTAAGCTTATGAAGTCTTCAATGAGCTTCCCCTGTTTAATTAATTGAACAACATATCAGTATGAATATATGACATTTTACCGATAATCAGTCGCCCAATATATTTGTACATGTTTTACTTTGTCTACAACTATGATTCAATGCTGATGTTGACCCTGGAGTTTCTTTATGTCATTTTTCCTCAGTTTTTATTAAGCCTTTTGGCTTACATAACTAGGCGTAAGCACGAGGGAGCTCTATGCCATGGCCTATTGGCAAGCTTTCTTTTCTCTGCAGATCAATGTATCTTCCGCATGAGACTGCTGGACAAATTGTGTTGGAACTTCAATTGACATACTGGTACATGTTCCCAACAATGATCACACCATTGTTGGTTCACATGGTTCTGAAGGGGCGGTGGGATAGCCTGATGGTTAAAGCGTTCGCTCGTCACGCCGAATACCCGGGTTCGATTCCCCACATGGGTACAATGTGTGAAGCTCATTTCTGGTGTCCCCTGCCGTGATATTGCTGGAATATTGCTAAAAGCGGCGGCGTAAAACCAAACTCATTCACTCACTCACATGGTTCTGAATTGCATGTCTTGACATTTTCCGCTGTATAGATATACCCCATAGGATGAACAGTTGAGAAGGCTTGAACCTTCTTTGAATGATAATGACTAGAGATAGTAGTTTCCATTTGGTTATTTCAGGAAGTGATGTAAAACTGTTTTGTACCTTTAAGTTCCAGAGAACATGGCACAGTCTGGTTCTGTCTATCCATCCATATGATGTTTTCCCTTGCTAAAATATTTCACCATTAAAACCCTGTTTAGTTACTGAGTTACAGCTCACATGACTGAAGTCCAGTTGACCAGTTGCTTAATTTTCAACATCAACTCTCAACTGCAATGCCTAAAGAGTAGAACTTTGGACTAATGATCCCAGCTATGGATTCTCCATAAAATCCAATATTTAAAACCTAGCAATGACTATTCATCAGTCATATATTTTCACAATGTATTGAAATAGGTCCAGATCAATAAACTTGAGATGTGTTTATCTTTTTGTGGTGACCAACATGATCCAACCTGTGCAGTGTTACTGTTGTTGTATCAAGATAATAATGCCTTCATTGGCAATACAAATCAATAAACTTGAAAAAAAATAGGAAAACATTTCACAGATGTACAACATTGACAACACAAGGACTGGAGACTGATTACGTTAAAAGAAAATCCTTTACTCCCAATGCTTAATACTGAAAAAAACCATCCCATATATTTCTTAGTAGCGATATGTTACAATTAACCATAGCACATGAACATATCCAAACATCAATTTAACTCACTGTCACAATCAGTTGACCCACAAGGAATAATTAAATGGCAAATCTAAATCGAAAAAGGACTGTAGTTTACTCATGGAAGCAAACATGGCAAAAAGTTGACTCATTTTATTGTGCTTATAACTATGGTCATATGTCTTTAACAAGTGCTGGCATATTCAGAATTTAGGCGTAAAATCCTCAAGAAATCACAGAAGTATCTATAATCAAGCACAATGTCAATATCTGGTGTGAGTGAGTTTAGTTTTACGCCGCACTCAGCAATATTCCAGCTATATGGCGGCGTCAATATCTGGTGTAACCTTCGCCAACTGCAGCTGCAATAACATCCCTGACCCTCCTACTCAATGAGGGGCGGTGGGGTAGCCTAGTGGTTAAAACGTTGGCTCGTCACGCCGAATACCCGGGTTCGAATCCCCACATGGGTACAATGTGTGTTCCCCGCCGTGATGTTGCTGGAATATTGCTAAAAGCGGCATAAAACCAAACTCAGTCAGTCAGTCCTACTCAATGACTGCATAAGTTTATGCATATAACCACATATAATCTATATTCCCTGAATGATTCTGCTGTACTGAATGTGTTTTGCTGATATTTACTTGTATTTTTGCATGTGATTAAAAGATTCTTTCTAACTTGCTATACAGATGAACAAGATGAAATATATCTCCCATTTACAGTGTTCACATTTTCTGCACTTTTGCAACGTAGCTAAAAGTGTCATAAAAGTGTCTCACTCACTCAACTACTGAGAAATACAGATATATGTAAGAGCTATTTGAAAGTATCTGATTCACACGCAAGGCCAGCAACGTTGTCCTGGTCACATGCATTGGTATTACTACATAAATGTCTACAATGATATAGAAAGGTTGTGGAAACAAGCCTGTATACTTTTATGATCATACTGCAAGAGTGTTATGAGGTCGTAATTATAGAAACATGAAAAACACCAGAAAGTCCCATTACAGCTTATCAGACTAGGTGCATTGACTGGCTAATATGTATATGAATAATATGTGTACATACAGATGAATTAAGGTCTAATGGCGAACACCCATCTAATGAGACATATCCTAGAGGTTTATTATACTTTTGTAATTAAGAGATGGTGATTGCACGACAGTAATACCAGCATGCTGCTATGATGATTTAT